AAAGTTAAAATAGCATTTTTCTTAAACACAATTTTATTTTTTTGTTAAAAATAAAGGAGAATTCTTAGCTCCAACTTAAATTTAATTTATATTAAGTTCTAACTCCTCTGGACTGATGGATTTGGAATCAAAATCACAAACATTTGTAGGCAAATCAGGAGATTGCCGAAGGTGGAATCCATGGCGGCATGTCAGAAGCAAGCAAGCCTCTTTACCTATGGCGAGATCGGAGAGACAGACGGTGTATTCGAGCCCGTCCTTGAAATCGCTCTCTGTAAAAATTGATCTGGATTGGAGTCATGACAATCGCTGCAAAAGCTTGCCGCGACGGAAATGATGAGATTAATGAGCTTTTAACGGGAGGGGAACAAAGTGCTATATTTGCGCGCTATTAAGAGATTTTGGGTGCTTTATATATATATATATATATATCTAAAATTTTAAAGATGAAATATATAAATCATAATAGTTTGGGTAATATTATAGAAAAAATCTTACATTTAGGATTCCAGTAAAATTTTGCGACGCTTATTTCATTGGGTCCACCTAAAAAATAAAGAAAATATATCAATCACACCTTTGTGTTATTTATGTGATCCTCCTGATGATGTTATTCACATTGTTTAGGGGCGTTATTGTGGTATTATTGAAGCTGTTTTGCGGTGGGTTATTGCGATGTTATTTATGTGTCATCTAGGAGGTGTTATTGTCATTGATCATCAGTATTATTGCATTGTTATTGTGGTGTTATTATAGTTATTTTGTGGAGTTATTAAAGCGAAACTGCAGTACATGTGATATTGAGGTTTATCCAATTTGTTTTGTAATAATATCATAACAAGGGTATCTTCATCATTTTTTATGTTGATTAAATCAGATACAAGTGGCAACATTTTACAATGTCCGGACTCAGCTTATCTGCAGCTGCCCCAAACAGACCCTTATTCAAGCTGTTTTGTAATAATATCATAATAAGGGTATGTTCATCATTTTTTATGATGATTAAATAAGATACAAGTGGCAACATTTTACAATGTCCGGACTCCCTATTTAAATATTTTTCAATATTATGGGTGCTATATTCGTAATATCCCCTGTAATCAATGGTTAGTTCTGGATTTAGATTGAATATAAGGGTGGAGATTCCGCATACATAGTAGAGTACCCTTTGTTTTCTCCTTATTTACTGATCCCGCCATCGTTCTAAGCCCTAATTCGTTCATAAATACCAGTCTGGAGGAAAGCTAGGTTTGAAAAATCGAAGTGCTTGCAAATCTATTTTCTTTCCCCGCTCTCTTTACCCTCTTCTTTCGGACCTTCTGCTTGCAAAATGTCTGCCGCATCCGAACCGAGATCTAAAGCGCCTTTGCTGCCGACGACAAGCAGCTTCCAGCAATCGACCTCTACGTCCGATCGTTTCTATACGCCGGCGTTAGCTTCATCGGAAACGCCTTCCTCCTCATTTTCATCCTTCTCCGCCCAATCGTCAACCTTCTTCCCGCGCCCCATCCTCCCCACTCGCGTAAGCATCGTTGGATCCTTCCCACAGGTCCCCTCCGTTCGATTCGCTATTGAACGACCCACCTCACCTGGTCGCTCCATGTCCGCCATTACTAGCCATGATCGGATCGTTCGCCCTTCTCTGTCTTCCTCGGCTGGCCGCAAGATCTGCACGTGCTCGCCAACGACTCATCCGGGATCCTTCCGCTGCAGCCTCCACAGGGGTCTCAATCATCAACAAGCAGCGGCATCCGTATCATCGCCGTCCAATCGACTAAACGCCCGCCGATCTGCGATGACAAACTCGCTTGTCCGGATTGGGACAGTTGAGGGCGAATTGGTCAAAAGGGCCCTCTCGGCGCTAATCCGCCCTTCCTCGCATCATCAGCGAAGGAGAGCAGACTTCCAGCCCCGGCCAAGTCGGCTTTCTAGGATGTCCAATGCTGACGATCTTATGATCGTTGTAGGAAGGAACTGAAGATCTTGATGCAGGTCTGTTGATATTCACAAAAAAGCATAACACGTTACCTCACCACTCTTCACTGCCGATGTCAGTGTCTTCGATTTTGTTTCCATACTGATTTTCTTTATTGTAACGTGAGGAGGTAAGCAGTAGCGATGGCGGAACTGGTCAAATCCGTCATATATTGTACATAGTTTTCTATAGTAGATATTGATGGATGTGCATCCAGATTTTCAGAGAACGAGAACTTGGATACATTGGACGCCAACTAATTTCGTAGAAATTGTTTCGAAGGCAAGGTGATTGAATCCCCATAGATATCAAAATTGCGCTTCGTCCGCACTAAAAAAAAGAAAAAGAAAAGAAACGTGCACAAAAGTATGAATGATTAATTGACATTAATTCATAGATTACAGATTGATACTGCACTTGTCCGTCAAGATCAGCGCATGGATCTAAAATTTTCTTTAAATGATTTGGGTCGTTCTCTTCGTTGCAGAATCCCTACAACAAACATCTCCCGTCGACGTCGACGTCGCCGCCGTCGATTCGTACGTGTTTTCAGTTGTCACGATCGGTATACCTCGGAACCGTTTCAGTTACATACGGTATGTAAAAAGAAAAAAGTAACTTCCTCATATAACATAGGTGCGTAAATTGAACCTCATATTTGCTCCCACTTAAAAGGAAGATTATTATTGTTATTTTTTTTATTCAGCATTAATTTTTGGGAAATTTACATTCAGAGCTCCTAATTTTATGCATTCATTTATCTCCCACCCAAAATCTTATTTTTACGATTCAATCACTGAACTTACCCTTTTTCACGGCTATCTAACTGACTGAACTTCACTTTTTCACGGCTCTCGAACAGTGAAATCCATATTTTTTGTCTATTGGTAGGGTACTGGTTTTATAAAAATAAGAGTTTGGGTGAGATAGATAAACACTCAAGAATTGGGTGCTGGGTATGTAAATTTCCGTTAATTTTTTTATAAATTGTGAGGGTCTGAGTTTCAAGTTATTCATTGAACAAGTGCAGATGGAATCGAACAAGTGCGCACATTAACACATTAATTCATATTATTTTTAAAACTTTGATTAGAACTCCTTAAAATATTGATATTGAAACGAGGTTCAAGATCTGTCATATTTGGTCTAAATTTGTAATTATATTTATGATTAAATTCGCTTATGTCATCAAAAATTTTTGATGGGATAATTACAAAGAGCCCCCCTTAATATTGACATTTGATGCATGCTAGTAAATTCGCAGGAGGAGAGTGATGAATTATTGTCGTAACATTGTACAAAAATCCAACACACACTTAGATAGATGTAACTAAAAACGACACCAAAAGTATTTACTTTGAAAACCAAAAAAGGGAAAAAACCACGAGGCATTGCCTGGTTGAAATATTTCACTATGAGTTGTTGATTATATGTACAATCCTTTGCCCCACAAGCGGAAAAATGTTATAGAGTTTCTCGGGTTACAATATCTATGTGTAAGAAGAATTGCCGCGGTAGGCAGTGGGTGGCGGCGGCGATGACCAAAGGCGTCCGTGGTGGCGACTACTTGAAGAGGCGGCGGTGAATGCGACCTCGAGCGGAGGTCGTCAGAAGCAAAAATGGCCGGAGGCGGCGGTGAATGTGACCCAAGGCAGCGGCGGTCAGAAGTGACGGTGGCCGGAGGCGGCGGTGAATGGGAACCACAGGCGATGCAGCGACGACTAGAAGCGACAACAATCGGAAGCACAACGACAACCAGAGTCAACGACGTCCGGAGGCGGCGGCGATCAAATGCGACAACAGTTTGAGGTGGCAGTGACTCGAGTTGGTTGGAGGCGACGATAGCTAGAAGCGGCGACAATCGGAGGCGGTGACGACCGAAATAAGTTAGATACAGTGGCAGATGGAAGCAGCGGCGACTGGAAGCAGCAACAGCTTGAGGCGGCGACAACGGGTGGAGTTGGCCAGATCTAAAATGCAGGATGCAGGTCTGTAGCTCCATATTCTGCAGGCTCTGGACTTGCTCTTGTCCCCAGGTTCAGATCCTCTTTCATGAGGGATCTGGGGCTTTATTTATAGAGTTCAAATTGCAAATAAATAAGAAATTCATATCACTCTTGATCGGGAGACTCGCAGAGATCCCCTTGATCAAATAATGCTTGATGGACATTTGAGTGCCCTAATGATGTAGGAATTGAATGATCTTTGGTCTGTTGGATTTTTTTTGTCGAGATGCTCGATTTGAATATAAACATGTTATATATGACATTTATTTGATCTTCCAATTATATTTCAAAAACATCTAAAAGTGGTTTAATGACTTGATTTGGGATTGATTCAACCCAGATTGAACTGATTCTAGTATCGTTTTGTCTGTCTCGTCGAGCCGGTCAGTTTGAACATAAGTTTGTTGAAATGAGAGCTCTTGTGACTTTTAATCAAAGTTTGATTGTTTCTTACTAAAAAACTTGTCTCAAGATCCTTGCCATGCATTAAGATTCATGTTGGAAATTAAAAATTTGTTGTTGATATGTCAATTGTTCTTTATTTTTGGGTGAATCAACTTCGTTACTTGAAAATATAAAATTCTTTCAAACTGGTATTTTTTTGTGAAGGTAAATTTACTGACATAACACGCAATTCCCATGGATTGTTATATTACCGTATTTATGATGTAAGGATCATACCACGTGTATATGTATAAATAACATAGGTTTTGAATTTGAACAAGTATATGTAATGCACTTGTATAAAACAAAGCGTGACATGGTGGACTCTTTGTTATTACATGGGCATGTGAGATGGGTGTGGGGAAGATTCAAATCCCCCCTCCACAAATATTGTGTTTTTTGCGTCGGGCCATGTCGGGATGGGTCTGCGGTTTCAGTAGGCAAACAGGTCAGCGTGCTGGGATTGGGCCAGCATCACGTTATGCAGGATAGATCTATGGGTCAACTGGGCCATGATTGACCTGCGGGGTGTCCTAACTTAACTGCCAGATCTTTAATCTGCTGGATTAGATTGGTCGTTGCGATCAATCCTGCGGTTTTGGCGATGGATGCGACAATCCAAGCCATGTGGTAGAACCTAAAAAAAATTACATTGAGATTCATGTCATGTTTTGAAATTCGTGTTGGATGTAAAAGAATTATTGATGACATATTAGTTGTCATTCTATTTTTGGACGAGATCAATTTCGTCGCCTGAAAATACAAAAATTCTCCAAACTTATATTTTGTGACTGCATTCATATATATATATATATATATATATATAGATAGATAGATAGATAGATAGATAGGCACACACACACATACATACATACATACATTTTATATATAAGTGAAATTTACCAATGCAGCACACAATTCCTTTGGATTTGTATGCTGCTGTACTCCTGTTGTATGAATCATATCATATGTTTATGTATAAATAACACAAACAAATTTTAAATTTAAATAATTATATATAGTGCATAAATATATGTATAAAACAAAATGTGACATAGTAGACTCTCTGTTGTTCTGTATGTGCATGTGAGATGGGAGTGAGGGTTATACATACAGTGTGGGTGGCTGCTTCACTATTATATCATTCCGGAAGTAGTATTTTTTCTAAGACTGAATCAAAACATTATTCGTTAGCTTCGAGAGTGCGTCCTCGGGGTTCTGACACTTTCTTTGGGTTTTGGCAGGGCGAGATCCATCAGATGTTGCCATCTCAATAATGCGAAAGAAAATCACGAAAGAAGATCTCAGAGATCTTGCTGAGCAGGGTGAGATAACTTTTCCTTATTTCTTCATGAAAGAATATGGAAAATAAGAAATCACAAATCACCTGCTAGATAGGGATAATCTTTTTTTTTATTCTCTCCTTTTCCTCCCTTCTACGTTTTCTTCCTCCGCTTGGTTTGAATTTTTTTCTCCCGTAGCTTATATCTTTCCCTCTCTTGAGCCTTCCTCCTCAATTGGGCTGATTTCCTCCCACCACTTTGAATTTCTCTCCATTTTCTGTTCCTCTCCCTTCTCACTCTTCCTCTCTCTCTTTGTTCTGAATTTTTCTCATCATTAAATCTCCTTTTCTTATAGGCTAAAGAGACCCTAATTTCTTTCTAATTTGGATAAGATATGAATTAATTTCAGATTAATCTTAACCATTGGATCCACCTCCTTATGCAAGAACCTAATAAGGTTTTTTTGATCCTGCCATCTGGCCTGGATCGTCAGATCCACCGCCAAAACTATAGGATAGATCACATCCGTCAATTCTGATACCGTAGATCCAAGATCTGGTGGCCTAGCTGAGACACCGCGTAGGTCAAACATGGCCCAGTTTGACCCGTAAATATATCTCGCATACCGCAGTGTCGACCCAGTCCCTCCCCGTTGAACTGTCCGCCCTACGAAACTGCCAGCCCGACCCGGGACCGACACGACCCAAAGCAAAAAACGCATTACCTGTCTTGGGGGTGGGATTCAAACCTGCTCTCACTCCCCTCTCACACGAGCATACAAAATAACAAGTCTACAATGCCACATTTTGTTTTATACATATATTTGTGCATTATATATATTATTTTCAATTCAATATGATTTAAATTTCTTAAATTTCAACTCACGCAAATCTATGATTTCAGTAACTTGTGGAACATTGAAACCTTATTTAAAAATTGATCAAGCACTCTTTTTTCAACAAACTTATAATAAAACTAATCGGATCAATGAGTCAAATACAATGACACAAAAAAATGGTTAAATTCGAGTCAAATCAGGCTTGGATGAAGCCGTTAAATCATTTTTGAAAGCTTATGGTGTCCAATTGAAAGTTCAAACAAATTTCAAATCTATCAAACTTATAATTAAACTGAGCAACTTGACATGACAAATCCAAAGAGTTCAAAAAAACTCAATTTTGTTGTTATTTAGGCTCTTAAATGTCCACATAATGTCATCTGATCGAGATTACCTCTCTAGGTCATCCGATAGAGTGGTCTAGATTTGTTCTTTATTTGCGGGGAGGTATTTCCCAAACTATAAATAGAGCTTTGTTTCCTTCATGAAAAGGGGCCAGGGGGCTAGACCTTGAACTAGAGGAAGAATTGAACTTTTAGTAGGACCGGCGAGGGGCTAGATCTTGAGCCAGAGGAAGAACTTGACTTGCAGTAGCACCGGCAAGGAGCTAAATTCTAGTGTAGTCCCATGCTGAAGACCCGAAAAATGCCAGCCGCTCCTGTAGTCATCTACCATCGTTGACCATTTCTTTCTTATTGTAACAAATCTCTTTTCAGAATCACGGCGTACGCCATGGGATCTCAAAATCCGTTGTGAAGCAACGACACACCTCAAAGACAACATATTAAAGCTCCAACTGTTCCTAACTGCTCACTTTGACCATAACACAACAAATATTGTATGTCAAAGAGCTATGTAACTCTTTCCTAACTTTGGGACATGGGCTTGTACGTGCAATCACCAACTCATTTGAAATAATTTTAACTTCAATACCCTGTTGTTTTTTCTCTTTTTGTGTTTTCCATAATAAATCTTCTGGTTTCTCTATTTATCACGTCTATTGTCAGAGTATCTGATGGACTATCGTACAATGTTAGCACGATAATTCATAATTCTACCGCCGCAAAACGGCAAGGAGCTAAATTCTAGTGTAGTCCCGTGTTGAAGACCTAAAAAATGCCAGCCGCTCCTGTAGTCGTCTACCATCGTTGACTGTCTCTTTCTTATTGTAACAAATATCTTTTCAGAATCACGACGTACGCTGTGGGATCTCAAAATCCGTTGTGAAGCGACGACACACCTCAAAGACGACATATTAAAGCTCCAACTGTTCCTAACTGCTCACTTTGACCATAACAGAACAAATATTGTATGTCAAGGAGCTGTGTAACTCTTTCCTAACTTTGGGACAAGGGCTTGTACCTGCAATCATCAACTCATTTGAAATAATTTTAACTTCAATACCCCGTTGTTTTTTCTCTTTCTGGGTTTTCCATGTAAAATCTTTTGGTTTCTCTATTTTTCACGTCTATTGTCAGAGTATCTGATGGACGCTCGTACAACGTTAGCACGATAATTCATAATTCTACCGCCGCAAA